AGTATATATATATATATATATAGGGAGGACTTTGCAGTATTGTTGATGAAGCCGTCATACTATAGGTTATCTGATAACTAACACAACAAGCATGTTCAGATGGCTACTTAGGACCTATGTTATTCGTTGTGGGTACATGGTTGTAACTTAGCATCTTTTATTTGTTTGCTGTTTTACATACCAGTGAGGCAAATCAGTGTGTTAATATCTCACTTAGTTTGCCATACAGCTTGATGTCATCCATGTAATGTAGGTAGGTAGCTGATGACCACTCCCCTGTGGAATCAGTATCTTTGCTACTTTTGGTGATGACCTAGCTGAGATGGTCCAAACCTATGCAGAACAGTACAACAACTGGGATTGTTGAGTTAATCTGTAGCTTGTCATTGACTTGCCTGGTGTTGATATCACTTGTCTCCTGGGCCTCTGTCCTACATCTTGCGGCTTTGTGATATTGTACAGAGGCTAGAAGAAATTGCTCTTGTATAATCTGAACTGTTCAACCTTGAATCAGTCCCATTCATTAATCAAGGCTCAGTGGCTAGATATTGCCTAGCCGTTTACAGACAGATACAGTAACCAATTTAACACAGTTTKAAAAACAAAACAAAACAACAGCAAAAATGCATTTTAGTACCAACAAGGTGATTTCYAAAGAGGTATCAGTGGAAAACTTGGTGTTGACTAATTGTTCAAATGGAGGACGATGCATCTCTCAGGCTCTGTGTCCAGTCTTTGCTTGATATACAGTAAATTCAAATATTGTTCCTCTGCTGGAGCTAGCTTTTACAAGAAAATCAAAAACAAACAAACAAACAAACAAAAGGAAATRAAGAGTACAAAATAGTACAAAATTGTACAGTATTTATTAGGGGTGTAAGAAAATATTGATACACTGAAATATTGTGATATTTCATTTCCCGATACTGTATCGATATTCTAAAGCTCTGTATCGATTTTTATTAAGGTTTAAAATGTCAACTTTCCTGCCAGCCATTCATTTTTGTGTTGTAGTTCAGCCTCTGACCACTAGTTGTCAGCAGTGAGCCAGCCATTTGGCTCCTCTAMCTCTTGAGCGCCAGAGAGTAGGAGAGCATTAGCATTGTAAGTAAACATTAGCTTCATGCTCAAATAGCTGAATCTGAGCGGAAAAGACCGACACCCTCTGCCTTCTAAGCTGARGTAAGKTWACVAACAGTTACTTATTTGTCAGAATGTCTGTATTTTAAGCCAAATTAAGTGTCTTGTGCGCTCTTTTTTCCAGCTGTAGTCAGGTTTCACGTTACGCATATAGAGCATGCGTCCATCACCTCGAGCGAGCTTGGCACCCCCCCCCGTGACATAAAACTCTGTCTGTTGCTCTCAATAGCTACGTTTACATGGACAAAAGTAATCGGATTAAACAGCCGTTCGTAATAAAAATGCGTCATATAAACAGCCCGTTTCGATTATTCTGATCCGATTGAGCTCGATCCGAATGAATTTTTAATCCGAATGAAAAGGGTGGGTTATGCCGATTGATAATCGGAATGACGTTCATGTATCATCTTATTCTGATTGTAGAAAACTGACCTGTGCGCAGGTCTGCTGACTTTCATTCACCCGATGGGCCAGCAGCGCTCCAGCTGCGTAGCGCCGTGCAGAACCTTTCCTC